TGGTACGACGAAATATCGGCGCGCAAATCAGAGAGAATAGGGAAAGAGAACGCCGTGCGAGAGAGCACAGACGCGCGCCGCTGTATAGCGAGGATAGAGGGCCATTCAATACTTGAAGCACGCTCTGCGATTAGGCATGCTCACACCTGTTCTATACCCGAGAGTAGTAGACAGGCCGGACAAGCGTTGATGTCGCGCCCCTTTTGCGGCTTGAAAGTGCGCGACAAAGGCGCTAGAAGCTCGCTCAACCCGCAATCCACTCCTTCGTCCGCAAGCCCCACCCTTCCGCTGTCGGTTGCCACGTGGCGCTGCTTGAAAAGCGCGGGCGCAGTTGCGGCAGCGGTTGCATTGCGGTTCAATGTCATTGGCACTGGAGCAACTGGAGCTAGATTTGTGAAACTCGTCCAGCACACCTCTCTCTCCCGCGCATACTTTGGTGACACGCGAATTCGAGTATTTTCTGTTTTTTCTATACCCACTTCCATCGTTTTTCAAAGAAGAAATAGATACTTCATCATGGGCCCACTCCTTCACAATGAACGTAGTAGGTGACAAAATGGCTGCCGGCCACCTCAGTTGAAGAACAAAATTGAGATCGTAAGCTTGCTCGAAGCTCAATCACAACTCCTTCCAAGACGTGCATCCCCGCGAAGTAAATTGCCGTCGCGCAATCGGAGAAGAACAACATACACTAGGCCGTTCTACACGCATATTTCAATGCTAACACGATCCTGGATAAAGAAGAATGCGTGGCGCATCCCAAAATGGCACCAGTCAACGTTGAATATTTTTTTTATTCTTTATTCGCAGAAAGGGAGCGATATAATCGAGAAAGCGTAGATATCAAATTATTCAAGTCCAAGGGTGATGTTTATGCGAGCTAAAGACTCTTCAAGACCATCCGTTGGGAAAATTTCAAAGAACGTTATGGCTTTTGAACGCGGTCTAGACGAAAGACACGAACCCCGCCCACATAAGCGGGGCGTCGTGTCTTTCGTCCCACTTCTGAGGCGATAAAGCTTGTACTAATGACCTGCTTGTGTCTCTTTTCTTAAAGCAACAGTCCAGGCAGGGTTTCAACTACTTGGTCATTAGGCGGTCAAAACATGCCCCAGCCCAACTAAAGTTTATAGGAAATGTCTTTAATTTCAAAACCTACCTCTAAAATGCGCTGGAAGGGGTCGAAGTCCTCTTGGAGGGGGCGGATCACTCATACCGAGGCGGATCGCTCAACATACGCTGTGCAGAGTCCGTGCTTGACTAGCGGTCGTTGCGGGACCGCCGCGCTGTATGAGGTCGATTCCATAAGAACGCAATTGAAGCGCTTCAATTTCGATTGCTGGCAAATAGTTATGTATTTGCAAGCATGCATGGCTATTTGCCAGCAGTTGCAATTGGAGCGCATGTACTACGGGCAGGTTCGGACAACTCGTCCAACACACGTCTCCCTAAACGGCAGGGGGAGTCCCTGTCTAAGCCCCTGCCCCGTTTTTTTCTACTTTTTCTTTCTCCATTGACCAACTTCTCACCTGCAACGTCATTATAGGTGGTCCTTACCCGCGAATTCGTTCCTGGATTGTTGCTTTAAGTCTGTCCCGCTTGTAGGCGGGGCCTGCTTTTCTTATATGTTGACACCACTTTTCCCCGATTAAATGCTTGATCGGGGTGGATGTTAACCGATAGCTTAGTTGCCCCCGATGCCATCCTTGCGACATCACCAAGTCGAACGTTGGAATATTGGCAGAAATTTGACAACGTTAGCCATGAGTACGCATTTGACTGTCTTCAGGACTATTAATAAAGTCGAATGCATGGCGTATCTTGGGGAATAAAAGCCGAGAGCTGTAGCCTAAGATTATGTCAGTATTTTCAGGGTCTCTTACTTCGATACATGGGCTTCATGATGTTCTTCATATCGGATTCGGTACTGGTAATGGCTCATACAGGGTTCAGGCTACCATGGCCAGAAACGGTCGTCCTGGCTACATATTACACTGCACAATATCTCATCTTATACGGCAATATCCATACTGGTCTCCACTCAAAAGCAAAACTTCTTTAACATGATTTACACTAACTGACTTAACATACTCGACACAGTCGCAACGACCAAGTCGCGGCGACTCATGTTCACCCTCTTGCAATCGCTTGACCACCGTAGTTTCGACTAGATTAAAAAATGACAAAATACAATCGGAAAATGTAATTCAATCAGGCCACTGGTGATTTTCTTCTCGAAAAGTTCCACGAATCGTCGTTTGGAAAGGAAATTTGGTAGCTATGCTGCTGATGTGTGATGATTTGATATATGATTGTGGCATTACTTGTGATATCGGATGTGAATGTATATATGGATGAATCAATGAATAAACGAGTGCATTTAGCAGTACTCAAAAAATGGCTGTGGCTCACGTTTTCGATCGTTGACACGGTCCTTTCTATTTCAAAGGCAAGGTCTAGTCAAACCTTAAAGGCAGTGGTCACGATGGTTGGAGGGCGGTCCGGTTTTGATGACATCAGCGTCATTGGTGGAAGAGCATCAACAGCCGCTTCTAAATATCCCCCAGCGCAATGGTCTCAGGACATCTGTCAACCGTGAGGCTTGGCGGTTCAGCGTTTTGTAGTGATGTCTGGGAGCTCTCACAAGTGCACACTATCACAGCATCTCCTCTTTCTTTATCTCCTTCAAAAGGCTTAGTCCCAATAAGACACAAAGTGTGTGCTTTTCCAGCTACGCTCTCACCCTTTGGTTGACAGAAGCCTTGTAACCCCAGCGCAATGAGAACGACCAATAACGTTCAGTGACGTCATCGAAACCGCACCGCCCTCCGGCCATCGAGATCTCTACCTTTAACATGCGAAAATTCCGCATCAACTGAATGTGAACGAATTAGCATGCTGGTAAGGCAATCGCACATTTCAAAGAGGACGTGTTCAGGAAAGTAATTCTCGTTCCCCCCCCCCCCCCCTTCCCCATGGTGCCGTAACCGATGGACGTTGCATGTCTCATGAGGGAGAGCACATGGAGCATTTTTTTGGAAAGTGGATTATACCACAGGAAGACTCGCATGGTCAACCGTGCGCAGCGCAGTTCTCAAGGACCGGTATGGGTAGTAGTT